AAGGAAAAGGCCCCCCCTCCCCCTCCCGCGCAGTCTCCTGGTCACGGATGATGAGGTCCAATGGCTAGGCCCTGCTATCCATATACTTCCATATATGTATGTGGTTTATCTTGTGGGGCCTCCTGTCACTGCCGTGATGCTTCGGCTGGGTAATAGTGCCCTGAGGCCCCACCCTGCTTGGTGTTCGATTGCGCGTTCTATGCCCCGTCCATACACACAATCGGCGCGTCGTCCTATGGGACCGCGACTCCTCCTCCTCCTCCTCCTCCTCCTCCTCCTCCTTCTCCTCCTCCTCCTCCGCCTCCTCCTCCTCCTCCCTCCCATCCCTCCCTCCCTTCCTCCCTCCCATCCCTCCCTCCCTCCCTCCCTCCCATCCCTCCCTCCCTCCCTCCTCCTCCCTCCCTCCTCCTCCTCCTCTTCCTCCGATTACTTACCGTATAACTGACTCCTCCCTGTCGCACCCCGAGACCAGTCGGGCGGGCGGGCCGGGCGTTTCTCCGGAGACTTCCTCGCCATATATATATATATATATATATATATGACCCTCGGGCTCGAGATGTGCGACAGCCCCACGGATGGAGGGCGGGCGGCTTTCGGGATGTGGCGTTCGCCTTCTCGCCGCGCACCTTCGTCTTCAGAGTTCGCCAGAGCTTCACGGATGAAGGGCGGACAGTTTCAAAATGTTGTTCTCGTCTTAGCGCCGCGCACACTCGTCTTCAAATTTGCAAGAGCTTTGCGGATTGCGGGCCGGTCGGTTCAAATGTTCTCGACTTAGCGCCGCGCGCATTCGTCTATGACACTTGCAAGACGTTGACGGATTGAGGGCGGCTCCTTTTCAAAATGTTGTTCTCGCCTTAGCACGGCGCACATTCGTCTTAAAAAATTGCAAGAGATTCACGGCTTCCCACGGTTAACGTAACAGAATTGGTGTTTGGGAACTGTTCGAGATTGCCAGGGCGCCACAGTAACATTGATTACCGGTGTTGAAGTCCCAGGGATGGCGTTCTGGCACGTTTCGGGATCGTCAAGACGCAACAGTCAATTTGATTCCTGGGGTTGAAAGCCGATAACGGTGTTTTGACACGCTTCAGGATCTTCCGACGGTTCTCCGACAAGAAACTTCCCCGAGTGGAAATGAAACCCTTGTAGGGGCCTGTGAAGAGGGAGCTTGGAGGGAGAGTTTATCCCAAAATCGTTGATGAATCTACGGTTTACACTGGTCATCCGCCTCCTCCCTCCTCCCCCCCTCCATCCCTCCCTCCCCACCTCCTCCTCCTCCTCCTTCTCCTTCTCCTCCTCCTCCTCCTCCTCCTCCTCCTCCTCCTCCTCCTCCTCCTCCTTCTCATCCTCATCCTCATCCTCATCCTCCTCCCTGCCTCCCTCCTTGCCTCCCTGCCTCCCTGCCTCCCTCTGCCTCTCTGCCTCCCTGCCTTCCCCCCTCCCTCCCTCTCTGCGGCCGATGGAAATCGTCAGTCGATCTCTTACGTTGTCAAGGCCACCGGGCACACAAAGGCGCCATGATGCGCACCATCCACGTGTTGGTAGTCTTCCGCAGGAGGAGTAACTTTGAGCTCGGAGCCGTGGCCGCCCCGACTTAGGCGGGGCGTCTTCTTCAGCCTCCCCGACTCCCGAAAGACGTGGCGCCATCCTCGTTGGTCCCGGGGTTTCCTCTGTCCTTGCTATCTTGGGCGGGGCCGCGGGGTGTAAGTGAGCCTGAGAAGCCCGTGCTAGGATTAGGGCATTAGGGTTAGGGTCTTAGGATTGGGGTCTTAGGGCGATGGTCTTCGGGTCAGGGTCTGAGGATTAGGGTCTTAGGGTTGAGGTATTCGGGTTAGGGTACTAGGGTCAGGGTCCTAGGGTTACGGTCTTAGGTTCGGGGCCTGAGGGTTTGGGCATTCGGGTTGGGGCCTGGGGTTAGGACATTACGGTTAGGGTCTTAGGGTTAGGGCATTAGGGTTCGGGTGTTACGGGTGAGGTCTGAAGGTTAGGGCATTCGGGTTCGGGTGTAAGGGTTCGGGTATTCGGGTTAGGGTCTTAGGGTTCGGGTCTTAGGGTTAGGGTCTTAGTGTTAGGGCATTAGGGTTAGGGTCTTTGGGTGACGGTCTTAAGATCAGGGCATTAGGGTCAGGGTCCTAGAATTAGGGCATTAGATGTGAGTATTAGGGTTATTAGAGTTTGGGTCAGGGTTGGGTTTTAGGGTTCGGGTCTCAGGGTTAGGGTCTTCGGGTTAGGGTCCTAGGGTTAGGGTATGAGGGTTCGGGCCTCAGGGTTAGGGTATTCGGCTTGGGGCCGTAGGGTTAGGGTCTTAGGGACAGGGTCTCAGGGTGAGGGCACAAAGGGTCAGGGTCCTAGGGTTAGGGTACTAGGGTTAGGATTGGGGTCTGAGCCGGGGGGCGAGTGCCCCTCGCAGCTGGCACGTCTTACCTTCAGCGGGAACCCCGCAGGGGCTTCGTGTGGCCCCTGGTCCGTGTGGGTCCCCTCACCCGGTCTGCTGCCTCGTCCCCCCCCCCTCCGAGGATCGAGGATGCAGAGCTTCGCCCGCAGAATTCTGGACGCGCGAGGCGGGAGTTCACGAACTCGCGCGCACGCGCGCCCGCGCGCGGCCTCCCCTCCTCGTCGTGCCGTATTGCATACGCAGAGTCATATGTGGCTATGACTCTCAGGAGCTCGGCCGCCTTCACACGCGAGCCGAGGTCATAGCTAAAAAGGGCTTGAGATTAACCCGAAGGCCCTCATACCCTAAACGCAATAGGAGGAGGAGCAGGAGGAGGAGGAGCAGGAGAAGAGATGACTGGGGGGACGAAGAAAGAGGGGAGGGGGAGGGTCATTTTCTCCTCCTCGCCCTCCCCCTTCCCTCCCTCCTCCCCCCCCTCCCTCTTCCCTTTCCACCACCCCCTCCTCCTCCTCCTCCTTCTCCTCCTCCTCCTCCTCCTCCTCCTCCTCCTCCTCCTCCTCCTCCTCCTCCTCCTCCTCCTCATTCCCATACCCCCCATTTTCCATGGGGCTTCACGAACGGGGGCTTAGCTAAACGGGGCTTAGGCGTTTCCACATGCCCCGTTGACTATGCCCCCGTCCACCGCGCCCAGGGCCCCCTGGGCGATTGCCAAACGTGGAGATCGGCGTTCCCCGTGCCCCCGTTTCCCGTGCCCCAGTCTCTGGCGCCCTGATTCCCCATCCTATCCTGTCGTCCGGCCGAAGCATCGGGGGCCGCCGCTCTCAGGCGGCCTCGTAGTCGGCCGCCACTCCCTCCAGGATCTCGAACGCCTGGGCGAAGACGTCCTCCCCGAAGCCGTACTGCTCGTACCAGTGCACGAACGCGCGGCTGGCGTACTTCGCCCGGCCGCGCTCCAGCAGCGGCCGCAGGACGTGTCGGCGGCGCGCGCACCGAGGGCGTGGCGCGAAGGCGGCAGCCCTCTGAGGGGCCCCCCAGAAGGCAAGAGCCCACCATCAGAAGGGCGCCCAGGCTTCCGCTGAAGGCCTCTCAGAAGCCTGGAGGGCTCCCATCGTGCACGAAGCCCCACACCTGCTGAGAACGCCGCTGCATCCATACCTCCGGCGCCATGATTTTCCACAGCGTGGACCCCTGGAGGTCTGGACCTGTTCGCCCGGCACCGGTTTTCCATCCCAGGCAGTTTCTTGAGGGCTCCCAGGCCCTGTAAGAGCCAGATCAGGAGACTGATATGCTGGATGGAAGCAGATTGAACCACCTGCCAGGCCAGATTAGACCGGATCGATTGGGAACAACGCGGATGACGCAAAAACGGATGACGTAGTCCAGATTGGACTCCACTGGAATTCAACAACTGTCGGGACCCACCCCAATCGGCCTGGATGCCTCGACGGCACCCCGCTCGCGCCACCCATTACCAGCCTCGAACGTATCCCTATCCCTAAGATTGGCACGCCAAAAGGCGATAACAATCTTAGGGATTCGCCCTCAAAAAACAAGGGAATCCCTAAGATTAGCATCGTGATAAGGAGGTGCCCAGCATAGGGATAGGGATCTGTTCCAGGCTGGTAAACCCACCCCGTGCGCGCCGCCAGACGTGCGCAGTGCGTTTCCAATTCACCAGCGCGCTCACCCGGCACGCGGCCGGCGCCGAGCGCAGCGGCACGGCGCTGCACCGCGCCTCCAGCGCGAAGGGCTGCCAGCGCACGGCGCCGCCGAGGCGGTCCAGCAGCTCGCCGCGGAGCCGCTCGACCTGGTCGCCATCGCTGTCGCCGCCGCCACCGCCGTCCCCGCCTCGGCCGTCGTCGCGCGGATGGTGGTCGTCGTCGTCGTGACCGCTGCCGCCGCCGCAAAGGTCGTCGACCAGAGGCAGTCGTGCTCGGCGCGCGGAGGAGGAGGAGGAGGAGGAGGAGCAGGAGCAGGAGGAGGAGGAGGAGGAGGCGGAGGCGGAGGCCAGAGGCGGAGGCGGAGGAGGAGGCGGAGGAGGAGGAGGAGGAGGAGGAGGAGGAGGGGGACGAGGAGGAGAAGCAGGAGGAGCGGGAGGAGCAGGAGGAGGAGCAGGAGCAGGAGGCGGATCGTCGCCGCCGTGGCGGCCACCTCCGTCGCAGCCGCCGCCGTTGGAGCAGCCTGGCCTCGGGCACGTGCGCGCCGCGCGCCACGGCGCGCCCCGCCAGCACGGCGCTGGCGCCGCCCGCGGCGGGCGCCCTTGGCACGCGCGGCGTTGCCCGCGACAGCGCCTCGACGACGACGACGACGACGACGACGACGACGACGACGACGACGACGACGACGACGACGACGACGACGACGACGACGACCGCGCCTCCAGCGCGGGGCGGATCTCGGCCGGGGGGCCGTGGCCGTGGGGCGAGGCCGCCTCGCCGCTGAAGGCCAGGCCGAACGAGGAGGGGCAGGTGGGGCCGGGCAGGGGGGGGTGCTTGGCGAATCGGCTGCGCGTGGCCGGGTCGCCTTCTGGCGCCAGTGGCGCCAAGAGTCTCGAGGAAAGCGCCCGGCGGCGGGGCCGAAGCTAGCCGCACGCAACAAGCTCCGTTCATGCCCCCTTGCCCTTCCCTTCGTCCACCGCCCCCTCCGTCCGACCCGAGAAGAGCTGCAAGAACCGGTGGGTCGGCATCGGGCACGTGCCAGACACGAGGTCGCCCAAGTCGAGCGGCTCGGCCATCGTGGCCGGACAGAGGATCGGGGCAAGGTCCCTGGCGACGACGCCATTCATGGTGGCCAGCGAGGCGCCCTCGCCAACGGCCGGCCCCGCACTGGTCGCGGGCGGAGCGGCGCTGGGCCGCTGGCACACCGCGTCCGCGGCGGCCATCAGCCGGTCGTTCTCGTAGAGCACGACGCCGTCGGTGAGCTCCTGCAGGGCCGCCAGGGAGAGCAGGGCGTTGTACGACTGGGCTGGATTCTCTCGAAGAAGAGAAGACGGCATGACCACCAACTTTCGGAGGTCCGCGCTGATTTCGAGGATCGGCGCTGGACCCCCTCCTCCCTAGCGCGCGGAGGGCGCCACAAGCGCCGTCGACGGGGCCCAGCGCTGCTCCAAGAACTCCGCGCAGACCTCCGGAAGTCGATGTCTACAGCCGGACCCAGGACAGAAGAACACCCCTCGAGAACATGAGACCCTCCGCCAGCCAAACTGAAGCACGTTCGGGGATACCATCCCACGGGATACGCCAGAACATCCCACGGCCGCGAAGAACATCAGGGCACCCTCCCCGAACCGACCTCGATCTGGCACCTCGCTCCGACCGTGCGCGGGCTGCCCTTCTCCGGGCCTCCCCCGAGGCCATCGGCAGCATCGAGCAGGCCAGCAGCGGCAGCTTCGCGTAGGCGTCCCGGAGCTCCTCGGCGACCCGCGCCCCGAGCCCGCTGCCCGACCCGCCGCCCAGCGAGTGGAAGAGCAGGCTGCCGAGGCAGGCGCTGTGGCACCCCTCCACCTGACTACCCACCAGACCACCCCAGACACGTCCGAAGACCCGAAGTTCGGGCCGGGGGGGGGGGTACGGGGTCCACGGGTGTCTTCTCGATGTTCCCCGACGCCCCCCCCCCACTGACGACGGAGGCCAAAGTGGGGCCTTCGGGTTGGGTTGGGGTGGTTTGGTGGGTGGCGACCACCTGCTTGCGGACGCACTCGAGCGCGCGGGCGTGGAGCTCCTCTGGGAGCGGCTCGGAATGCAACTCCACTGCGAGGCGGGGATTTGTCCATACCCACCGCCCGGGCGACGACAGGCCGGTGCCCCACCAGCGGGCGGTGGAGATCCGGATATGTGTTGGCCCATGGGAGCCCGAGTGCATCCATATCCACCGCCTGCCGAGGTCCCCGAAAACTGATCCTCCAGGCGGTGGTCATGCATCAATTCCCGCCTCGGACTCCAGGTCGCCAGGTAGGCCAGGGAGCCAGGAGTACGGGCGCTTCGGCTTCCCGAGCTGCGCGACGCTGGAGCGCGCGTGCACCGAAGCCCTGCGCCGAACTCCCTGGCTCTCTGGCCGACCAGACGGCGTGGTACAGTGCTGCAGGCTTCGCGGGTTTCGCCCCTGAGACAGGTTGTCCAAACACAGCATGCCCCAAAGAAAGTGTGAAGAATGCCGCCCTCTGCTGTTGAAGCTGCGCCAGAGTGACATGTCGCACCAATCCTCCCCCTCCGCGTGCCGTCCCCTGTCGCCATCAGCGTCGTCGTCCCCTGTCGCAATTAGCGTCGCCAATCCTCGCCGCCGCCCCTGGCACGCTCGCCCACGTACCTAGAGGCCTCCTAGATGGGGTCCGAGTAGCTGGGATCGGAGGATCTCGCCGCATCGCCGATGCATCGGCGTCGGCGATGCATCGGCGACGTCGGCGTGGAGAAAATGGGGCTCCACACCGAGCCGCATCTCCGATGCATCGCCGATGCATCGGCCGATGCGGCGCGACCCTCCGACCCCATCTGCTCCGACCCCATCTGGGAGGCCCAGAGCACCCGAGCGCGAAGTTGCCGCCGCGGCCCCCCTGCGCCCACGCGGCGGCCGCTGGGTCGAAGGCCACGGCGGCGCCCGCGCCGGCCGCGAGGGGCTGGGCAAGGGCGGCCTCCACGACCTTCGGCTCCGCGTCCACGAGCACCGCGCGCGGGCGGAAGGGCTCCCGCTCCGCGCGGAGGTATGATGGGCTTGTTTTCCACCACCACCACCACCATAAGTTGGAGGGGGGAGGAGGAGGAGGAGGAGGAGGAGGAGGAGGAGGAGGAGGAGGAGGAGGACGAGGACGACGAGGACGACGAGGACGAAGTGGAGGAGAAGGAGGAGGAGGAGGAGGGGGACGAGGACGAAGAGGAGGGCCCCCTCCCCCTCCAACTTATGGTGGTGGTGGAAAACAGGCCCATCAGAGGTAGAAGAGATCCGGGACGCCGGGCCTCTCGAGAGCCAGCACGGGCCACACTGCCTGGGCCAGCTGGCACCCCGCCTGCGGGGGGGGGGCGGGATCGGTCGGCGTTGGCTCGGCAGGCCGGGTCGAGTCGAAGCACGCGTCGGATCGGCTGCGCCAGGATGCACACCAGCGACGTGCACACGTCGGGACGCCTCGGACCGTCGGGATGTCGCCATCGAATCGACTCGGGCCGGCCGAAATCGGCATTGAAGTTAGATCGACCGGATCGGAGTGGGCCCTCGAGGGGAGGCGCGGGAGGAGCGAGCGAACGAGCGGGCGAGTGACCGCTGCTCTGGACAGGCGCCAGAGCCCCGTGAAGACTCGGAGGGGGCGAGGCCGTGGCGTCCCGAGGGCACTGGGCACCGGCTGCCGCGCGCGGGGGAGCGGCCTCTCTTGGGCGCGGCGAAGGTCCTGTGGCTGGGCCGATCACGGCCACCAGACACGCTCGACAGCGCACCCCGACCAGGCTCCAAACTGCGTGCGTGGCCCTAGCCCATCACGGGGGTTGTGTATAATTACGCGCCTTTGCGCCCTCGATCCTCGACACACACACACACACAGGCATCAGATGTCTTTCTCTGTTGGTCCAGACGAGTTCCCTGGAAGTCCCGACCCCTTCCCCTGGGCAGTTTGGTAATGGCGCCTGGGCCTGCTCAGGAGGGGAGCCGAAAGGGGGGGGACTAGCTCAGGGGAACATTGCCTCGGAATCGACGATACATCGCCGATAGATCGGAATAGGCGGAATGGGCCTCCGGTGGGGATTTGTTCGCAGTCTGGGTCTAGGGATCAGAGATCGACCCGCGGACCCACTCTGGGCCGAGTCTGGACCAGAACTTCGGGGCGAAGCGGCCGCGGCGACGAGAGAGCCCCACGCGAGCCACAAAAAGGAACCGCAGAGACGCCGAAGATTCTCGATCCTCGATCCTTGCACTGTGGAGCCCTGGACGACCCAGACATCCGACGTCGGGACTCTTTCCCAGCGTCGCTTCCCAGCGGTACCCCTTCCTGGGACCTGGAACCTGGCTCTTGACCCCGGGCCGAGGCTGGACGGCCCTGGGCCCCGGCGAAGGCCCGAGGCCGAAAACATGGATGAAAAACCGTCCGTCGCCGACGTTTTCCACGGCGCGAGGCTGTCTGGGAGGCCCCCCACCTGTTGGAAGGTGCAGCCATCGTCCTCACACTCTGGCGCCTTGGCTCTGCCAGCGCGCGCTCGCGGCCAAGCTATCTGCACACGCGAGGAGATGTTAGGCCAGGCATCACGGGCACACGAGCCAGGTCGGACGAAAGCGGGGGAGTAGCAACGGGGGGGCAAAAGGCTCCCAAGAGAGCCCCAAGAGGCTCTCAAGAGACCCCAAAATTCCTCCCCAGAGGCCCCCGAGAGCCTTCCGAAGAAACCCCAAGAAGCATCCCTGAGCACTCTGGCCCACGTCAGCGACGTCGTCGTCGTCGCCGCCGCCGTTGCCGTCGCCGTCCTCGCAATAGCAACGGGGGTGCGCATCGGCTCACGCAGCTGCCTTTTCCTGATTCCTGCGCCTCCCGTCGCCAGAGGCGCAGATGCCTCGAGGAAACGGGCCCAACGGCGGGGCCAAAGCCAGCTGCCTGCAGCAGACTTTGCCCACCCATCCCCCCCCCCCTTCCCAATCCCCCCCCCCCCACGTCTCGTCCGACCCGAATGCCAGGGGAGCCAGGGCGGCCCGCCAGTCCCCTACTCCTCCTCCTGCTCCTGCTCCTCCTCCTCCTCCTCCTCCTCCTCCTCCTCCTCCACCTCCTCCTCGTTCACCCCTCTTCGTTAGAAATAACTCCTCCCTGTTGCACCCCTGAGGCCGGTCGAAGGGGCGGGCAGGCGTTTCGCCTGAGGCTTCCTCACCACTTCTGATCCTGAAGCTTCAGAATTGAAACAGCTTTACGAATGGAGGGCGGGTCGCTCTCAAAAAGTGGCTCTCGCAGTAGCGCCGCGCACATACGTCGCAAAAGCGTGCGAGAGCTTCACGGATGGAGGGCGCGCAGTATTCATAATGTGGCTCTCGCCGTAGCGCCGAGCACATCCGTCTTATTAAAAGTTAGCAGAAGTGTCGCGGATGGAGGGTGGTTCCTTTTCGCCTTAGCGCCGCGCATATCGGCCTGACCATAATTGCAGCAGTTTCGAGGGTGGAGGGCGGGTATTTCTTGTTAGAAAAAATATCCCAGTGCGACCCTACCTAGGAGTTGGAGCATCTAGGAAAGCAACATCTACATATACACCGACAGCTACATTAACATCTACACCTGCATCTGCATCTACATCAACATCAGCAGCGAGGCGCACATCTGCATGGTAGGGTACGCTCGGCTGCGCTGTGTTATGCTAGGCTATGCTATGCTATGATATGCTGCGCTATGCTATGCTATGCTACGATATACTGCGCTATGCTATGATGTGATATGCTGCGTTATGCAACGCTATGCTAGGTTATGCTCTGATATGCTATGTTGCGTTATGATATGCGATGATATGCTATGTTATGCTATGATATGCTGCGCTATGTTATGCTGTGATATGCTATAATATGCTATGATATGATATGATGTGTTATGTTATGCTGTGCGGTGCTGTGCTATGCTAAGCAATGCTATGCGATGATATAATGTGATATGATATGTTGCGCTATGCTGTTATATGGTATGATTTGTTATGCTATGCTATGCTGAGCTATGCTATGCTATGCTATGATATGCTATGCTTGGCTATGCTATGCTATGATATGCTGTGCTAATGCTGCGCTGCGTTATGCTGCGCTGCGCTAAGCTAAGCTAAGGTAAGCTAAGCTATGCTGAGCTAAGCTAAGCTAAGCTCAGCTGCGCTAAGCTAAGCTAAGCCAAGCTAAGCCAAGCTAAGCCAAGCTAAGCTATGCTAAGCTAGGCTAGGCTAGGCTAAGCTAAGCTAAGCTAAGCTAAGCTAGGCTAAGCTAAGATGAGATAAGCAAAGCTAAGCTAAGGGGACGTAACTGGGGAAACCGCGGGGCGGGGACTGGGGGAACCGCCCGGGGCGGCCTACACTGCCCGGCCCCTTTAAGCAAACCAAGAAGAACCCTCTGGGCAGAGCCTAGGTAGGGAATAAGCTAAGCTAAGATGAGATAAGCAACGCTAAGCTAAGGGAACGTCAATGGAACCGCGGGGCGGATGCCGGGGGCGGGGCCCACTGCCCGGCCCTTTAAGCTTAGCGAGTAAGAACCCTTCTAGGTAGAGCCTAGGTAGGGAATAAACCTGAGCTAAGATGAAGCTAAGCTAAGATGTAATAAGCTAAGCTAAGATGAGATAAGCAACGCTAAGCTAAGGGGACGTAACCGGGGGAACCGCGGAGCGGATACTGGGGGAACCGCCCGGGGCGAGTTGCACTGCCCAGCCCTTTCAGTTCATCGAGTAAGAACCCTTCTAGGCAGAGCCTAGGTAGGGAAAAATACTCTCGCCTGAGCGCCGCGCACATCGTCTTAAGAGTTTGCAACAGTGTCAAGGAAGATCATGGTTAACGCCCCAGAAATGATGCTTTGGCACGATGTCGGAACGTCAGGGCGCAACCGCAACGTTTATTCGCGGTGTTGAAGTCCCAGGAATGGCGTTCTGGCACGATTCATGATCGTCAAGACGCACCAATAATGGTGGTTCGCGGCGTCGACATCCCAGGAATGGTGTTCTGGCACAGCTCCGGAGTTCAAACGGTTGTCTTCCGACTGGGTTCTTCCCCTTGTGAAAATGCATCCTTGCAGGGCCCCATGAAGAAGGAACTTGGAGGGAGGGTCTATTGCAATATCGTTGATGAGTCTTGGGTTTACACTGGTCCTTCTCCTCCTCATCCTCCTCCTCCTCGTGCTCCTCCTCCTCCTCCTCCTCATCCTCCTCCTCCTCCTCCTCCTCCTCCTCCTCCTCATCCTCCTCCTCCTCCTCCTCCTCCTCATCATCCTCCTCCTCCTCCTCCTCCTCCTCCTCCTCCTCCTCCTCCTCCCCTCCTCATCATCATCATCATCATCATCATCATCATCATCATCATCACCATCACCATCACCATCACCATCATCATCATCATCATCATCATCATCATGATCATCATCATCATCATCATCATCAGCATCATCATCATCATCATCATCATCATCATCATCATCAGCAGCAACATCCTGCTCCTCTGCCCTGCATCCTCCCTGAGATCCGACGTCGCAAAAATTGGAGCATCGAAAACAAATCACGACCAGAGCCCTAGATCTCATCTTTCTGCGCCATTGCTCGAACCGGATCGATGTGTGATGGTCCTGGGGCCCGAAAACCCTTGCGAAAGCGCCCCGTGTGAAAAAATGCAGCGCCTGGATCTCAGGGTCCTCACCCCTCCCTCCCTCCCTTTCTCATGCCAAGAGAGCTAAGCAATAAAAGTACCCCTAACCATTTGGGAGGGGACGTGAGTTAGAAAGGCCAGAAACGTCAGGGATAAGAGGTCGCAAATGCACCAGACGAAAGCACTTCGATGCTCAGGGATACTCCTAAAACCGTGGATCTCAGCTGGGCCACGAATTCATGGTGCTATCAGGGTCAGGAGTTACCATTATGCTTAATGTCGGCGGCGAGCCCAGGGGGGAAGTGAGAAGGGGCGGGCCTTCTCAGAAAGCTCGGATTCCCAGGGGGGAAGTGCGAAGGGGCGGGCCTTCTCAGAAAGCTCAGATTCCCAGACTTCTGAGAAGTCTTCTAGGCCTTCCCCGAAGACACAGAAAAACTGTCAAAGGCGTGAGGGCTCCTGAGAAACCCCGCCGCCATCTGCCTCCTCATCACCTCCCCCCCTCGCTCGCCGCCGATAAACGTCGGTCGGAAGAAGTGGGTGGAAACATGAAGTAGAAAGGCGTCAAAAGTAGATTGGGCTTCCGCCCGCCCCCTGGATAGACCACTCCACTGTTGAAACATGAAGGCGTCCAAAGTAGATTGGGACTTGGGCATCCAAAAACACCTACTTCCAACGATCGACGGGCAACCCTGAAAGGTCTTTAGAACACCCCCAATAGGGGTAACTCATCTTTCTGCGACCTTATTGAAGACTGGGGCCCCACCAATAGGGGGTAACTATTTGTTCTTCCGCGGCACCCGCCGCGCAACAACGACGACCCTCCGCGAGGAGAAGGAGGGGGAGTAGGAGGAGGAGGGAGGAGGAGGACGAGGAGGAGGAGGAGGAGGAGGAGGAGGGAGGAGGAGGAGGAGGGAAAAGGAGGAGGGAAAAGGAGGAGGAGGAAGAGGGAGGAGGAGGTGGAGGAGGAGGAGGACGACGAGGAGGACGAGGAGCACGAGGAGCACGAGGAGGAGGAGGAGGAGGAGGAGGAGGAGAAGGCGACGGCTCAACTTGCAGGACCCGTCCCACTCACAGCCGAGATAACACTTGGGGGGGGGGGGAGGGCAAGACTGCAAGACTGAAGACTCCCGGCGGGCACTGCGCGGGAGCTCCCGGGCGGCCCGCCTGCCCCACGTGCACGCACACGGCGGCCATGCCCGCCCGCGGCTGGGCGGGCCGGCCGCCGCCCGCCCCTCGAGGGCGGTGCGCGCACGGGCCGCCCGCCGACGGCCCGCGACGCGCCCCGCGGCGGGGCGGCCAGGCCGCAGGGGCCGGCTCGTCGAGCCGGTCATCCTACAGTCGGACTTGACTGGACGGGACGCGCGAGAGGACACGGGAGCCTTCCAAGGGCCACACTGCCATAGGAACGTGGGAGGCATGATGGGTCGCGAGATACAGGACACGAGGGTACCCTTGATTTGGGAGGGTCGACCTACCAGTCAGGGCCGACTGTATGCAGAGAGACAGGGCCGAGAGCAGAGCACGTGAGCACAGGTGCCGTGGGCCTGCCGGGCGTCGCAGAGCCGCTTCGCGGCCGCGCGCCCGGCTGCGGCAGAAGCTGCGTCACCTTGCCGGAGCTGCGGCGGGGCCTCCCCGCCGCCCGCGGCCCGGACAGCGTGGGCAAAGACTGGTTCAGTCCAAGTTGTTCGGGAGCGCCCCCGCTTTCTTTCGCTTGAAAGCGGGGGCGCCCCCGAATGACTTGGAGAATAAGGCCAGAGGCCCCCAAGAGGCTTCCAAGAGGCCCCAGAACTGCTCCCAAGAGGCCCCCGAGAGCGCCCCGAGGAGGCCTGAAGCAGCATCCCTGAGAACTCTGACCCACAACCCAGGCACGGTGGCGGGAGGGGCCGAAGGTCACCAGATCCGCCGCCCCCTTTTGATTTATCAAAGGGGTGCCTGGCGTGTGAAACCCTCTCGGTTTTGGTATTTGTTCTTTTTCCAAAAGAACTCCCCCTGGGGCTTCGACCCGTCCCACCGGGGTCCCGGGAAGGATCTCAAAACGCGTCCGTCGTGCCTCTGTTTCCTCCAGTTGGCCCAAGATGGCGTCCAAGACGGCCAAGATGGCCCAGGATGGTCTCCAAGACGTCTCCAAGACGGCCCAAGATGGCCTCCAAGACGGCTAAGATGGCCCCAAAATGCCTCCAAGACGGCCCAAGATGGCCTCAAGATGGTCCACGACGGCCCAAAAAGGCCCCCAAGAGGCCTCCAAGACGGCCCAAGAGCCCTCCAAGACGTCCTCCAGGAAGGCCCGAAAGGGCCAAAATCATTAATTTTCCGTTGGGTTTTAAAGGATTTTGGCATTTGCGCCTTTTCGGATTTCCGACGGCCCAAGATGGCCCAAGAGGCTCCCAAGATCGCCCAAGAGGCCTCCAAGACGGCCCCATGACGGCCCATGACGCCCCCAAGACCGCCCCAAGAGGGCCCGATGATGGCCCAAGAAGCCTCCAAGACGCCCAAAATGGCCTCCTAGACGGCCTTGGATCACCCCAAGAGGGCCCCAAGTCGGCCCAGAAAGACCCCCGAAACGGCTTGCGACGGCGTCAGACGGGCCAGGAGCCCACCAAGATGGCCGAAGGTGGCTCGCAGCTGGCCCAAGACGGCCCAAGAGGCCTCCAAGACGTCCTCCAGGAAGGCCAGAAAAGGCCAAAAAGATTCATTTCCCGTAGATTGTTTAAAGGATTTTGGCAGTTGCGCCGTTTCGGCTTTCCGACGGCCCAAGATGGCCCAAGAGGCTCCCAAGATCGCCCAAGAGGCCACCAAGATGGCCCCATGTCGGCCCATGACGCCCCCAAGACCGCCCCAAGAGGGCCCGAAGATGGTCCAAGAAGCCTCCAAGACGCCCAAAATGGCCTCCAAGACGGCCTTGGATCACCCCAAGAGGGCCCCAAATCGGCCCAGAAAGGCCCCCGAAACGGCTTGCGACGGCGTCAGGCGGGCCAGGAGCCCACCAAGATGGCCGAAGGTAGCTCGCAGCTGGCCCAAGACGGCCCAAGAGGCCTCCAAGAGGACCTACGGGAAGGCCAGAAAAGGCCAAAAAGAGTGATGTTCCATAGGTTTTTGAAGGATTTTGACATTTGCTTCGTTTCGGCCTTCCGACGGCCCGATACGGCCCACGAGCTCCCAAAGATCGCCCAAGAGGCCTCCAAGATGGTCCCATGACGGCCCAAGAGGCGCCCAAGACGGCCCCAAGAGGCCCCCAAGACGGCCCAAGAGGCCTCCAAGACGCGCAAGATGGCCTCCAAGACGGCCCACGAGCCCTCCACGACGTCCTCCAAGAAGGCCCGAAAGGGTCAAAATGCCCTCCAGGCGGCCAAGATGACCTTCAAGAGGCCCACGTGTTCCCTGAAGGTTTTCCAAATCGATTCGGGGAACACATGGTCCGATAGCTTGGCAGGCCTCTGGCCACAACCTTCGGCCACATAGGCACTTCCACAAAGGCAGGGGGCGGCGGTGATTCGCCGGAGGCGTCGTCGATAAGAACGCAGCATAAGGATGCAAGGGCCTTGGAAGGCCATGTCGACACTTTGCGACTGTATGTGGGCCAATCTTCGCAGGGGGGGGCCTCGCCGAGGGCACGGGCGCTCGAAGGCACGTGCTGGCGATCGACGACACGGGCGATCGGAGACATGGGCGCTCGAAGGCACGTGTTGGCGATCGAGGGCGCGTGGGCGCTCGAGGACCCGCGACCGAAGGCACGCGAGCGATGGCGAGGTGCGGGTCTCACGCAGCGCGGGCCTGCGCAGGCCTCGCGCCGCGGCCTGCGCGGGCCGCCGGCGCGCGGCACGCCACGCTGCAAGCCCGAGGGCACTCACGCGCGGCCTTGCGCGGGCAGCTTACGCGCAAATGTCGGCGAAGACGACCCCGTTTTCCCTTCGTCGCTCGCGTGGGCGATCGAAGGCATGTGCGCGCTCGGAGACGCGGGCGATCGGAGGCCCCCGGCCGGGGCGGCACGCATGTCGGGTCGGCCGAAAGGGAGGCGGGGATAGCCAACGAGGGGTTAGCCCGTGTGGCTGGTTCGGGAAGGGCACCTGGCAACGGAGCCACGATCGGATGTGCGCAGCAGCTTTCGTAACCTCATTCTCAACTCCCTCCATCCCATCTCGTCCGACCCTAGCATGGCCACCCCGCGCGGGGCCCGGTGCGCGCGAGGACCCGATTTTAGCCCAGGAGGATCGAAGATCGCAGGCGGCAAGCACATCCGTATCCGTGAGAGCTGGCGGGACTGGAGGGTGCATCGGGCGCAGCGGACACTTCAGAGCGCTCTGGAGCAACGCGTCTCCATCCTGGACCTCCACCCCTGGGCAAGGGCCACCTCTGATAAGACCCGACAGACCTTATTGCCCCTGCCAGGCTACGGTAACTAGTTGTGTGTGTTTGTGTGTGCGTGTGTATGCGTGTGTGTACGTGCGCCACGTATGTGTGTGTGTGTGTGTGCATTTGTGTGTGCGCGTGTTGTGTTGTGTGTGCTGTGTGTCGTGTGCGTCGTGCGTGTTGTGTAGGAGAAAGAAGCAGCTTTGGTCAACATCAACCCTCCTTGTCCTCCTCCTCCTCCTCCTCCTCCTCCTCCTCCTCCTCCTCCTCCTCCGCCTCCTCCGTCCGCCTCCTCCCTCCTCCTCCTCCTCCTCCTCGTCATCCTCCTCCTCCTCCTCCTCCTCCTCCTCCTCCTCCTCCTCCTCCTCCTCCTCCTTTGGGGGCACTGGGCGAGGAAGCACCCCCCCGCCCCCCCCCCCCCGCCGCTGTCGAGGGGCGGCGGCAGCGCGCACCGCAGGGGGACCTCCACCTGCAGGCGCGCGCGCGCGGCAGCGGGCGCGCGCAGCGCGGAGAGACAACCACACGTGAGCGACGAAAAGAAACGGGTCTCAAGGCTCGAGGATCGAGGATCGAGGCTCAAAGCTCGAGGATCGAGGGTCGAGGCTCGAGGCCCGAGGATCGAGGCCAGAGGATCGAGGCTCGAGGGCCGAGGCTCGAGGGTCGAGGGTCGAGGCTCGAGGATCGCAGGTCGAGGCTCGAGGCTTGAGGATCGAGTCTCGAGGATCGGGGCCTCGAGGATCCACAAGACGGGAACGATGCCATGCCACAATCGAGCGCCGAAGGGAAGAAGCGGGTATTACGCGAGATGGCATAGCGAACGTAGGCGGTGGCTTGCGCGGGCAGCCAGCGCGGCACGCCACAGGGGGAACGACAGCGCTTATGAGCGACCCTACGCGGGCAGCTTACGCGCCAATGTCCGTGTTGACGATCCCCTTGCTTTGCGTCGCTCTGTTGGCGTTGGACACGTTTGAAGATTTCCTGAATATCTAGCGGCCCTCGTTCGTTTTTGCAGAGCGTGTGGGACGTCATGTAGTTTTGGAACTCTGGGAAGCCGTGGAACGTATCAGTACCACGACCGATTGCTCCGCTGAAGCCAAGCTCGACGGTCGAGGCTTGGGGATCGAGGCTCGAGGATCGAAGCCCGGGGCTCGATGGCAAAGGCTTTGGGAGGCCCGGTTGAAGCACTTTCCTGGCTTCTGGGGGCCTCCACAGGATGGAGAAGAAGAAACAGTGACCACGACCAAGGCTGAGCACGGAATCTTCGTGCCAATCCCACCAGCCCTCTGGGCGTAGGTGGTTTAGGGAATTTCCTCTTCCACCCCTCCTTCTTCCCCTTCGGGGAGGGGTTTACCCCTCCCCCTAACCCCCTCCCCTGGACCTGGACGGGGGGTTTCGCTGGTAGTTGGAGCGTCCAAAACGGCCTCGGCGAGGAAGCCAAAATCATCGGTTTTACTATGGTTTTGGCCCCATTTTGGCCTCTTGGGGGGGGAAAGGTTAATAAACTCCACCCTCTTCTTTGATCGATCGCTTCCAAGATGCCCCCAAAGGGCGCCCAAGAGGCCCCAAGAGGCTTCCAAGAGGCCTCCAAGAGGCCCCAAGAGGCCGCCATGAGGCCCAAAGAAGCCCCCAAGAGGCTCCCAGGATGGTTCCAAGAGGGCTCCAAGAGGCTCCAAGAGGCCGCCATGAAGCTCCAAGAGACCCCCAAGAGGCTCCAAGAGGCCTCCAACAGGCCCCCAAGAGCCCCCCAAGAGGATCCCAAGCGGCCTCAAGAGGCCCCCCCGAAGCACCCAAGACGCCCAAGAGCCCCCATTGACCGCCAAGAGACCCCCAAGACGCCCGAAGAGGCTTCCAAAAGGCTT